TAGTGAGTAGATAAGGCTAAGTATGTAAGTCTTATTTTAAAAAAATAATAATTATAAATCTTACCCTTTTAATTATATGAAATGATAGCAATTTTTTTATCGACAACAACCCCTATCCCGAGAAGTCAGGTTTGAGTTTTTAAGTGTAAAAACTTACTTGGAGATTAATGACTACTTCCTTTTGAAAAATAACAACTCTAATTATATGAAATGATAATAAAACATTTATTAAATGCGATTATTAATCGAATTTGATAATTATTCTTATATAATATTTTGCGTTGTGCTATCAATGAGGACTAACAACCCAATAGTCATATAACTTCTTGAAAAACAAAAAGATTGTGAGATCAATTCTTACAATCACCATCCACAACTCTAATTTTACTAATATTATATTTGAATACATATGAATTTGAAGCAAGTCTATTATTTAGGTAATTAAAAATGTATCTAAGTTTTATCTCAATATCTTTATAATTTAAAATTTTTTTAAACTCTTATTATTTTAAATCATAATTCAATCTCTTTTGTAATTTGACCTAAATTAATTTCAAGGACTAAACTCATTTTAATATTCAAAAAACCCTCTAATGAAATAACCCAATTGCCCCTCTGTGTTAGAAGAACGAATTCTTCGCAGGCATTTCCTAATTAGAGAATTACTAGGGAGACGAAGCAATAGTCAACCATGATCAAGTTTATGTAGAAGATTTTTGTGCAGGTGGAGAAGTTTATTTAATGTTATGGGGATTTGTTTTCGTGATCAAGCTTTGATTCCTTCCATTTGTGATTGATCACCCAACTATGCTTTGACTTCTAACAGGTTCAACCTTTCATATACAGAGATATGAATAAGATCTACCATGAAACAATGGGCTAAGGTGGAGATGTAGTTGTGAACAACATCTTTAGATGCTGTTAAGTGAAGATGGGAATAAGCAACTCACAAGAAGAGGAAAGTGCATTAGAGTGGAGTGCCTCTGTCACACTACAACAAATTTTTTTTTTTTTTTTAAAGAGATAGATCTGTGAAATTTTAGACCCAACTCACACCACTTCTTAATAGTTTTTAACCTTGTCTGACCACATCGCCGATCATCGATTGCTTCTCTATCAATGTCATTTGTCATGACTGACTATTGCTTTGTCTCTCTAGTTGTTTTTTAATTACGTGTGAAGATTTAGTATTTTTTTAAAATTTCATTTGCTTAACACAAAGTGACAATTTGGTCATTTGGTTCATTGTTTTTTGAATATTAAAATTAGTTTGGTCTTTAAAATCAATTCAATTCTTGACAATAATTTGTCTCTTAGTGTGGTCTTTTTTAATAATTTTTCCTTCTAATAATATTATGATCATTAGCTAGGAGTGACCGACCGCTAGAGCTCAATGCTGGTGAAGATCTGAAGACAATCGATGGAATTTTTTTTTTATTTTTAAAACAAGGGTAGTAAGATTATTTTACAAAAAAAATATTAATTTTAAAAAAGTCTCTAAAAACTTCATTATAATTTAGTTATTTCATGGTTCTTATTTATAGCATGTATGCATATTTCGATTATATGTTGTAAACTCCTGATTTGGTTGTTTTTTGAGTAGTTAATATAGTTTCCGGTTTACACACACACATTAAAAAAAAAAAAAAAACATGCTCATTTCGATGGTCGTTGTATGCGATTTTCTCTTTTTAGAAATGTAAAAACTGGCTAAGGCAAAAACGTTGTTGTTCAGTCTCCAGAAGTAGAGCTACCCAAACGTGCTTGTGTTATTTCTAGAATGTGATTATGCTCTCTTTATTGGAGATAAGTTTTGGACCATGGTGCTCATCACGTGAATCAGTAATCTGAACCATTTGGAGTTTTAATTTGAATGGTTTAGAATTTTATATTTTATTTTGTATTTAATAAAATAAAAATCTTAAATTTTAAAAAATCTACTTTATTATCAATTTGAATAATATATATTTAATCTGGATGATAAATTTAATATTAAATATTTTTATAATTTTTATAAATTAATTATTCAGATATATTCTGAAATATCTGAATTTAAAATTAAATTGTTTTTTAAAATTTTTATTTTAGTAAATATAATATTAAAAAATAAAAATAAAGATGATCTTCAAACTGAATTTTTTTAAAAATTTAAAAAATTAAAATTAAAATTTAAACTATACAGAGTACATCTAAATAATTAATTTATAAAAATTATAAAAATATTTAATATTAAGTTTGTCATTCAAATTAAATCTGTATTATCCAAATTAATGATAGAATAAATTTATTAAGATTCATAATTTTTATTTTATTAAATATAAAATAAAAATTATAAATAAAATATAAAAATCTGGACCCTTCAGATTAAAAATCTAAATGGTCCAAATTATTGATCATGTGATGAGCTTCACTGAAACCAGTCTCCTCTTTGTTGTTATTTATAAATTATTTTTAAAATAAAAAAATTTGGTGCTCATCAGATGATGAGTACTAAAACTGGTCTTCTCTTTCTTTTTATTTATAAATTATTTTTAAATTTTTTTTAAAATAAAAAAATCTGGTGCTCATCACTGATGAGTACTGAAACCGATCTCCTCCTTATTATTATTTATAAATTATTTTTAATTTTTTAAATTAAAAAATTTTAAATTTTATTAACTTACTCTTAAAATTTAATAAGTTTTTGCATTTATTTCTTAATAAGAATAAAAAATTAATTTTGATAATTTTTTAATATTAAATAACAGCAAAAAAAATAAAGATGCACATAAAAAATAATGAAATATCTGACAAATGTAACTAAAATTAATTTTCTATATGTGCTCTAGAGTGTGAGAAGGGTTGGCAATGACGTCATGCATGAGCAAAATTAGTTGAACTTGAATAATTTAATAAAAAAAGAGAAATTTTTTGGTAGATCATATGTGCCACATCACTTATAGTCTATTAGATTGGAATATGACATCTTGACAGTATTAATATAAATTAACTCTGATATTAATAATAGTGGGAAAAAAAAGACAAGAAATTAAATATGAATTTTTTCATAAAAATAAAATCAATTAAAATAATGTTATATAATTTTTTTAAGTTGACTTAAGACATTTTAATTAGACATGTGACTTGAATCAGATAGTAAACACTATTCTTATAGTGTATTCATAGAGCAGAAAAAAAATCAATTTTAGTTCTAATAGTAAAGTATTTTACTATTTTTTATATTCATTTTTTTCCTTTCTATCTTTATGAAGATCTAGGAAAAATATTTAAAATAATTTTTTATTCTCATTAGAGATAGAAGGAAAAAATTATTAAATTTTAAGAAAAAAATTAATAAAATTTAAGATTTTCTTGGTTAACTTCGTATATTTCCTCTTATGATCAGGCAGGTCCGATGTTCGCTATAATGCTATTGACTTCGTGGAACTTAGTGTTAATTAATTATTAAGACAATAATTGTAACGGAAAGCACTGACCGGGACAAGTAATTTAAGAGAATAATTATACATTTTAAATGTAAATAAATTTAAGTTTTGACCATTCCATTAATTTTCTAGCCAATAGTAATCCCTTCCATTATCATTTTTGGGGTGTGAATATTAATGATGGGCCCACTTGGGGCTCTGAAACGGTAATTTCAACCGGACATTGCCTCGACACGGTGGCGGTGGTTAATTAATGTTTGACTTTCTTCTCGTTGTCACCGGGAGGCTCCCGCTTAATAAAATATGATGTACTTAGACGTCGGAATATTGTCTAACCAATGTTGCCATGTCCTGTAATACTACTTCATTAGGAAATCCCTGTCTCAAGTCTCAACAATTTCTTTTTCTCCGTCTCTTCTTTTTCTGAATTATCACCGTGTTAATTTGTAAACCACGTCTTGTTTCAAAATTGGGGTGTCCTCTGTACGTAACTGTCATGTGTGGTGAACTTGTGACAGGTGAACTCCGTATTATTTATGTTTCCTTTTTTTCTTAATTAAAAAAGTATCCTCGACGAATCATAATGGAATGAATGTCATTCACCCTTTTCTTTGACGGCCATGCCCCAAAAAATAAATGGTCCGGAGAGCCTAACTTTTGTGGTCATTTTTTGATTAAGTTTGCTTTTAGTGGAATAGGTGAGCCTAACTTATTTTTTTTAAAAAAAAAAACATTTGAGAGCGACGTAGTACCATGTACCAGTGCGTGAAAACCTTTGAATACTTTGGATTCCATCTAACTATATCATTGCAATCCATAACCAAAAAAAAAAAAAAAAACTAGTTGGGATTGGATTTTTTTTTTGGGGCCAAAGTTAGGATTGGAATTAATCTTGCAGAAAGCTTATGAATTCGCCATCGAATCATTTACGAATTACGAGGACAAAAACAATTTTATACAAGCAATTACAAATACAAAACCTATATATTTCCCATATGGATTTACACGGTTTCCGTTATTTTCCATCTAAATATATAATTACACGAGCCCCGGGAGACTAAACAACTCGAATGCGCAACGTGAAGAATTCCATCTTTGATTTCATCTCCGTCTCTCTAATTAGAAAGTGTCTTTGTTTGGCGTGACGCTACCCCTTGCATTAAATGTTCTACGCGCAAACAAAAAAGGTATGGTACCAGCACGACCAAAACAAATAAAAAGTTGGGTTATTTGTGTACATGCTTCTTAATTATTAATATTTCTAAAAAATTGATTGAGGAAGGATATAGTATAATATCATCAAACAATCATGCAATCGATTACATTTAATAAAATAAGGCTCGTTGTTATTGTTATAATATCAAAGATTATCCTATCCCCGATGAGATTTGATTAAATGATAGTGATTGACTCATATAATTCAATGATATATTTTAGTGAACACAGAATAGGGACGCCCTTCAATATTTTCACGTCAAATTTATTCAATCAACTATCTGAACTAACAGGTATTCAAAACTCTGAGAACGTCGTTAAAAAAAAAAACAGAAAGGCTCCAACATAACCTTCTTAATGGAATATAATTATCATTCTAATAATAGTATGAATATAATACGACGTAGTTATACATCAGGTTGTCTGACCAATGAAGTAATGAGCTATATTTATCAGGCAATCTATGCCTCAACCTCCTTCCACTTTTTTCCGTCTCTCCTTTTCTTGAAAAATGACCGTATTAATTAATTTACAAACTATTTTTGACAAAATGGGGATGTCCTCCCTCTGTAACCACCACATGCGGTGACAGGTATAAACTCAGTCAGTTAGGGCTCTAGATTTGCAAAGCAAGTGTTTTTTGTCACCAACTTACAGAAATATTATTAGCTCACCCACACTCTACTAACAAAACAAGGGCCAGAGATCACAATCCATTATAGCCCAAATTTGCTGCTACTATTTTATGTTGTAGGAAGTGTTCGATGCAGATGCGGAGATACCTGTGCTTGACCCCCAATTCTGACAGGTTGATTCTTAACAGAAGGTTGGCAAAACCATGAAAAAATAAACATTAATTGTCATCCTCGCCCAATCATCATTTCATTACAAGAAACTGACGACGAATCTTTCTAATTCAACATTCCTATCTTGATACATCTGCAACATGGACAACATCATATTATACGAATGAAATGTTTCAGAATATCAAGAATAGAATCAATTGAATGCTACAGGTACAAACGATGAGCTGATGATATTATGAAAGGGTTCAAGAAAAGATTATACCGTGGGCAGTGGTCTATGAGTCCATTCATGCCATATTAAGCAACCACATAATATTTAGGTAGAAAAGAACAAGTTGAACTAGATGCATCCCAAATAAGTTCATACTCCAAAAGCTGATTACACTATCCCTTACCCCACCCGAAAGAACTGGCACATGGCAGTATCATTTAATGTCAATGAAAACAAAATAATGAATCTAACATAAGCATGAGATTGTATTGGGTGAGTTTATATCACATCTCCAATGGCTAAAGCAGATGATGATGTTCAATGATATAATTAAAAAACTAAATGTTGGCTCTTTAAGCTCACCATCTTAGTCTGGTGCCCATTTTTCGTAGCTCATGCAATTGATGCGCTATGTCTCGAATAAATTGTAGCCTATCATTGTCATCTCGAAGTGAATGCAATATATGCTCCAGAAGATCATGATCAGCTTCAAGTGCTTCCAGCCTTTCATTAAGGTCTGATATTTCGTTTTCAACAGCAGCCAAATTAACACTTATTCCTTGCATGGAATTTTTTCCCTCAACAGATACTGAATGATTATTTTCTTCACAAGGGGAACATGCATCACTTTTTGAAGCAACTGAGCCATCCTGATCAGTAATGCTTCCGTTAGAAGTATTATGATCTCCCTTTATAGACAAAACATTATTATCTTTTTGACAGTCTGATTGAGGTCTTTCACCATTAGAAGATCCTTGTTGATCAGATCTACTTTCTTCAGAGTTTTCAGGTCTATCATTTGGCATATTGAAGGCAATACCATTATCAGAAATTTGACAAAGCTTCCTCTCCAAACTTCTCAGACAATTGGAGATGTACAACTTTTCCTCTTCAAATTCTAATGAGATTTCATGAGCCACAGATAACTCGGCCAGCTTTGAATTGGAAGAAATGGTGATAGGAGGTACACTAAAATTTTGCACAGTGGTGTTTTTTCCTTTCAAGTCACAACTCTCCTTGTGCATATTCTGGCCCATAGGTTCATCTTCCAAGTTTAACCTATAAAATTCCAATTCTGTTTCTAAATCCTGTATTTCTTTCTCCTTCTCTGCCAGTAGATCATAAGCCTTTTCCAATTCCTCTCCATCATATTCTGCTTGCTCATCCATCATTCGCAAGTATTGGAGGGCTTCCATGTGTAGCACTGCCTTCTCCTCCTGTAACCTGGTGATCATAGCCATAGATTGATTTGCAGCAATTGCAGAAGCATTTCTTTCTTCCTCCAGCTCCTTATACAAAGCGCCAATGCATTTATTGTCATGCTCAACCTGTCGCTTTAGTTGATCAACAATCGACTCCCCTTCAATTTCACTGACACAGTATCCTTCAAGAGACCCAAGAACAGGCTCTATTGAAGCGGCCTTCTGAAGTTCTTGAATTGCATTGGAGCTTGAAGTGTTGGTTTGCATATCAAGAGCATTAACTTGTTTAATGAGAATAGCTGATGACATACTGGATCCCTGGGGAGAAGAATTGGGAGAATGTGATAGCTTTAATTCTTCATTTACTCCATTAACTTCAGTTGGAGATGGATGTTCATGTACAAGAGTAGGAACTTCTCTTTCCTCATTTGTGATAGGGATGTCATTATCATTACTTGACTTATCACGCCCACGATTTGAAAATGTTGAATCATTTCCACAGGGCGCAGTTTCAATGGATGCTCCTATAGTTAAAACTGTTCCCTCTGAGGCTTCCTCATCGTTTTTGGATGCACATCCAATAATACTTGCTTGTGTATTATCAACATCTAGAAACATTTCAAAATGAAAATGTTAGACATTCTATATTAATACATCTACATAACAAAATATATGAATTGCAAGGCATAAAAGGATTACATTTCTCCGGCGATGTGCCAGCCAATGGATGAGAATTTGAAGTTACAAGCTCAGAAAGTGCAGCAGGGAGAGAATTCTGAGAAAGGCAAGTATTCTTACTCCTTTCTGGTTCTTGATTAGTAATATCCGCTACATTAGGTGTCGGTGAAACCTCATTTAGTGAAATGAGCTCTGGCAGTTCAGAACTCAATGACTTTTGATTGAGCTGTTGCCATTTAACTTCTCCAAGACCATGGTCATTAACAGCATCAGAAACGGTGGAGTTGACATCAGGACGGTTTCTGATGTCAGGCTTTATACACGGAAATAAAAGCAAAGGCTCAGTTTTGGGCGGAACAATGTATGGCTTTGTTAGATTTGAATCGCTTGGAAGATATTTTGATGGAACGGCTGCTGTAAATTGGGGCGAAAGATTGTTCCTAGCTTCAATGTTTTCATGATTTTGATGATTTTGACTTCCAATATTGTCATCATCAGAAAATGCAAACTCAGATTCAGAATCAGAAGCAAGTTTCACCTCAGTGTACTCAGCATAATTAGACAATGAATCGGAATTGCACTTTACTGAGCAAGAAGGCTTATCACATATCCTCTTGAGGCTGTTCTGGTGGTTTCGACAGTTTTTCCTGTATATATCTGGCAAAGTAAAGTCTGGCTTGAAAACAGTTATCCTGGGAGATTTCAGTAGTAGCGATCTTTGAGAACTCAGCATTGAGTTCCAAAACTTTCCACAACAGGTACATGGCTTTGAGCCCATGGTGAACGTATCTCTATTGGTAAATGAGCTTTGAGAACCTTGATTACCAAGAGCTGGTCCCAGTTTACCCAATAATAACCTTTGAGTTTTGGAGTGGGTTTATCGTTTGGGGCGAACGACATGAGGCACTCATCACACATTCCATGACCATCTGAAACCTTATCATGAATGCGGCACGATACAAGAGATGATATTTCTGATCTATGATTGCTACAAAGTAGATTCTGATATAATTCTAGTTTTTCACCATTTATTACATGATCAATTCTCGAGCACAACACACAAGGGGTTTGCAGTTTGCAGTATCTTGCAAATGTTGTCAGCAGATATGATATCACGGCATTGATGAGAAGAAGAAATATCAAAAACCACTCACAAGCTGCAGATGTGAGGACGGTGTAAAAGCCCTGTATCCTTTGTGTTTTCACAAATGTGGTTCCACTTTTTGCCATATCCAGAAATCCACGCCAGGGCAAGTTTTTAGTTAAAAGCCAGCCAGCCAATTCAAAGCAAAAAATTGCATCCTGATGTTAGATGCCAGGGCTAAAATGACCAAAAGAACGTAATGAACAGTCAGAATGATGTTAAAATCCAAGCAAATGCATGCAATTAATAAATATGCCAGACTGAATAACGGGGAAAAAAAAGAGACGCCAGATTAAAATAGGCCTTAGGCTTAAAACTCCAGAACAGAAAATGGATGAAGATGTTAAAATTTCCTCCTCAAACAGATCAAGAAGACTCTGTTGATCCTTATCAAATACATAAATATGAGGCCCGAGATTCTAATGGGAAGCAAAATTACATTGAGTTCGAGAATCCGAATTCTTCGATCCATATATATATATATATATATAAGAAACAGTACAAACGAGGTGAGATATGGAGACGAGCAATTTTTTGGGGCGAAAGCAAAGAATGAATAACTGGAGATATTGATATGCCGCTCAAGGTCCCGTAGAAAATTTCCAAAGATTGGGTTTAAAAGAAACCGAGTTCGTTAAGAGGTCAGGAATCAAGACAATGAAAAATCATTAAAGCCAGCGTAATGCGGATGCCAATGACAACGTGGGCCCGAGCAAATTGTTTGGAAGCCATAGAACACATAACTTATGAAGTTCATGCATGCATCGGAAATAAAGCGAAACGGGGTGTATACCTGTTCTGCAGCTTATGAGAAAGAGGAAGAGGGAGAAATCAAAATTCTGATGAAAGATGGTGAAGAATTTCTTTCTATTTTTTTTTCCTTCAGAAAAATAGGTAAATAAATAAGAATAACCCACAACCGAATTAAAAAAAAGTTAAATAAAATTACAGATTACAAATTGCAATTAGAAATATAAATCAAAAAAAGAATAAGACCCTGATTTTTTTTTTTGGCCAGAATAAGACCCTGATTTACATGTTGGTTCTTCACTCAAACAGAAAGAAGAGTAACCGATGAAACCAACGGCTTTTGGCTTCTTTTGGGTGTGCTCAAAGATTGTAAAACTCAGCCTTCATTAATTTTATATTGAAATACGTTAACCACCTTGACATTATAACTTAATTACACAGACCTTCTTTTTTTAAAAAAACATACATAAATTTTTCTTAAAATTAAAATATATGTTAGACATACCTTTATTTTATATTTAAAATTCTATTTTCGTCTGTCTAATCATAATTTAACCATTAAGTTTGACTTTTAAACTTTTAATTTAACCAAAATGTTCCACTTTAACATACAAATTTTCTAAAAATCTATATTTGCAAAAAAAAAACAATTGTATACAACTAAAAACTATAATGAATATATTTTCAAATTTGTATTATATTATAAAATTTATTAATTTTTATCATATTATAAAAAATTTATTATTTTAATTTTTATCAAATTTATTGAAACTTATTTATTTATATTTTTAAAAAATTTTAAAAATAAATTTTTATTCATCACATAATATAAAATGATATAAATTCAACAGATTACATGAATTATTTAAATTTAAAATTCAAAATTTGTAAATATTTTTTTACAATGAAATTATGTAACTATCAAAATAATATAATTTAGGGTTTATTAAAGTGAAGGGTAAATTAGTAAATAAAATTTTTTATAATATAAATTTTAATTTAAAAGTAAGTTTTATTATCTTTTAGAACAGGGTTAATGAATTTAACTAAATTTTATGTTTTCAAAATAAAAAAGAGATCTGTGTAATTAAAATAAAATAGAAGGGTGTTAAGATAAGAGTGTTTTATTTCTAATTTTATCAACCTCCAGGCTCTCTGAGCCAGCGCCAGATTTTGAATTGTTCATACTTTTAAAACCAAATATTTTTTATTTTGCCATTGAATATAAATGGTACTAGTACAAATAAAATGCTTCCTGAGCTAGTGAAAATAAATAAAAGGTATTATAAACTCACAAGATTAAATAAGTTGATTGCATTTAGAGGTAAATCTTCATTTTAAGCAAAAATATATTAATTGATTCAAAGGAAAAGGAAGAACTAGAATCCATCCATTCACATCAAAATAAGGGCTACATATAACGGGAATGGGAAGCAAGAATAGTGAAATACAGAGAGAAAAAGACTCAGCTTTGGACAAAGCTGACGATTAACGCGCATTGAACAAACAAGTACCGCGACAATTATCTCTCGATTCTCTTCGCCGATTTGAGAATCAATCTAGTCTTCATAGGTTTGCTCGTTGGTCCTTTCATTATTTGATTCTTTGCCGTCTCCCTGGATAACAAGTTAGGAACCTTGTAAATGTTTTTTTTTTTTAAAGGCATAAACAATATAAAAAGGAGAGGTTGATCAGCAAGGCTGCTGAAAACAATAATTCATCAAATTTGGCCAAAAAAAAAAAAACTCCCAATGATGCGATTTTATATACCCTCATCAGTTCATGCTTGCACATAGATATTTGGTATATTTGGATTTCAATTGGATAAAATTGATTAACAGAAATTTTTTTAATTATAATTGATTATGTTATAACATGATAATATTTGAATCTTATTTCCTAAATTAATCGTGATAAAATTAAATATGTTTAAATAATTGAGTTAACATTAAATTTAGATGTTCAAATTAGGACAATGACTTTTTAAATGTAATAATTGATAAAATGATATATATACATGATTAATTATTGAAATTTAAATTATTTTATATAGTAATATTAATACTTTAATGTAAGTAAAAATAAATAAATCAATGTATCTAAGTTTAAACAAATTAATGATCATCAAACAAAAGAAAAGGTCACCCATCTTGCTCCGCGCACAAGGCCAAACCAAGATCCACAATACAAATCTAACGAAGGTATTCATCATGGGTCTCTTCCTCTAAGATGGGAGTAGTACCAGCAAATGGGAGGTGAAAAAAGAACACTAAAATATATGCAATAATTAAGGGGTGCATTTTTAAAATGAAATATCTAACAAGTAATAAATATATATAACAGTGGAATTGAAATTCCGGAGCTACTCTCTTCAGCTTTGGCAAAAACGTGGCTTGGATTGAAATAACTGATTATGAAAAAATAGGGGTGTTTGGGTGTTTTTCACTGAAACCATGGTTTTGTTACATATAATTGATTATGAAAGCACATCTAAACAGGGAAGAATCGCTGAACAACAATTGCTGCATGAGATCAATTGGTATTTATTCCCTTCGTGTGCTATTCATTGCTTAATTTGGATCTTAAATAGTATTTCCCCATGTTCTTAATTAATGATTCAATGCTCACTATATCAAATAATTTAAATTATACGACTTGGGAAAGAATCGCTTTCAATGTTGTTTTAGTGCCTATTTAGATTTTAGTTGAGTATAATAGGTTATGAAAATAATTGATTAAGTGGTATATTTTAATCATAATTGATTTTATTATAACACAATTTGTTTGAATACTGTTTTTTTAAAATTAATTTTAATATAATTAAAAATATTTAAATAATTTATTTAAAATCAATTTTAACTGTATAGCTGTATAAATTATTATAATCTTTTAATTTTATTAAATTTTGTGTCTTTTTTATAATTTTTTCCTGAGCCTTTCTTATAATTTTTTTTATATTTGTTAGATAATTTGAACGCAGAAGCTGGAGAGCTTTGAGGAAAAATCAATTTTTTTTTGGCAAAAATTAATTTTCTGGACAAATGAGTGTTTGAATAGTTTTGGCAAAAATCAATTTTTTTGCCTCAAATAATCGACTATAACGTATCCAAACAGACTGGCATGAGGGTAGTGGTTATCACTGCTTTCGTGTGTTTTTTTTTTTTTGCCCCATTAAATATAACGACAATATTTGAAGCCGCACGATGCTGGAATGATTTTTATTTTTCCAGTTAACTCCAATGATAAGTCGTAAATCCTGATTAACTGGGGCCATGGGGTGCCTTGAAGATTACTTACGTAGAGCTAGAAACTAGAAAGATTGGGTTCGTGAATTCCCTTTGTATATTTTCGAAATTATAAAAAAGAGATTAAATATTAAAATTCGAATCTGGTCAATAGTCATCTTGAAAAAAAAGTAAGTATTGATAAAAAAAAATATATTTATTCGTCTCGAACTCTTTTAATTTTTATACTAATTGTGTTATAATAAATTCAATTATAATTTTAAGATTGTAATAACATATTGATTTTTTTATATAGTTTCTCCTCTCATTACTCATTGCTTGACTTATTAATGCATTATTATTGATTTTGACCAAAAACATGTTTTATTATTAGTATTTTTTTAATTTTTTTGACATCTTTTACAAATGGCAAAAAAAAAAAAAAATCATACACACGCGGTACACATGGGAGTCAAAACCGCAACCTTGTTTGTACTTAAAAGCTATAATACATTTTAATTTATCGATTAGCATGGTTTTTTTGTGACCTTTAATTTAAAAAAAAAGTTATAATACATTTAGAGGACGTTTTTAGTGTCATTGTGACAACAAGGTCATCTACTATCTATCTGATATAAATATTAAATAGGTACTTTTTATGATTTAAATTTAAATGTTAATATATATACACACACATATGCATGTATTAATAATTAATAATTTATACTTATGTGTTGGCAAAACAAATACTCCTTTCGTTAAAAAATGAAAGATATTTTTTAAAAAATTTAATGTTAAAAAGTGCATAACATTTTTAATTTTTTAAAATATAATCATTACTTTTTTTAAAAAAAATGCACCTATTGAAAATCATTTTATATTTATTGTAGAGTGTTTAATAAGAATAAATATGAAAAGTTATGATTAGTTAAAAAGTAGGTAACTATTTTATTGGGAGTGAGATTCAATTAAAAATACTTTATATTTTTAAATGAAAAAATAATTTATACCTATATATTTTTATATTACAATATATGTATAAAATAAATATAAAGAAGTACAACTCCACAATCAATCAACTTAAACTAATAGGTCATGACACATAGGCTAATATATATTTAATCAGGTTAAATATTGGTGGGTTTCTTCCCAAGGTCATTCCTGTGAATGGCAGTTTTAGTGTGTGTTTAGATTAAAAAATTTATAATTAAAATTAAAATTTAATTAAAATTAGTAAATTGAGGTTAGAAAAAAAGTTAGTTAATATAATGTGATTTATATTTGGATACTTTTTTTTTAAATTAGTTAGATAGATTGAAATTTTTTTGGATAATTTAATTTAAAAGCTAGTTAAAATTTTTAATGACAAAAATAAACATAAATTTTTTGTATATATTTTTTAACTAATTAATAAGTAAAAAATAATAAACTTAAAATTATAATTACTAAGTAAAAAATCTTAAATTTTTAATTATGAAAAGATAAAATAAATTCATAAATTATATTTAATAAGTAAAAAATCTTAAATATTCAGCTAGGATTTAGTTTTATTTTGAATAATATTTATTTATTTAATAGTAAAAACTTAAAATCCTATTTAAAAAGAAGTTTAAGTAACAAAGGATTTTACAGAAAGTGGATGCGAAAGCTAATGATTTTATCAATAAATTTTAAACTCAAATTAACTGATTAATTAAAATTTTTCAATATTTAAACTTTTTTTAAATAAATTATTAAATTTTTACTATTACATAAATAAATATTATTTGTTATAACTTTAAAATTTTAAGGTATGTTTTACACATATTATAAGTTCAGGATCTATGATGTTTTTTGTGTAATGTCTCAAGGTCTAAAATGCTCATTAATTCATTTATAAATTATAAAATATTCAATTCTAAAAGATAAAATAAATTGACAAATTAAAAAATCTTAAACTTTTAGAAGTTAGAATAAAATGATAATTTACAAAATATTAAATTAGACAATCAGTTTTCTTAATTCAAATTTATACATAAACTTTAAAAAAATTATAATATTGCCAATGAATTAATCTCATCTAATTTAATTGAAAAATAAATTATAATATTTCAATATAAAGCATAAAACTCACGTCTAGTTTCATATACTTATGAAAAGCAAAGTAAAAAAAAAAAAAACCCTTGCGTTAAAAAATGAGCTTCCTATATGACATTGTAAAAAATTAAGTTAGTAAAATTATGTAACTTAAAAAAAAATTTTATATGTTGAAATCTGTGTAATATTACTCCTTCCCTCCAGTTATAATCTCACTGCTGCGTTTCAAAAGTCATCTTTCATAATCTTACGTTAAACGGGCGTTTGCCACCAACACTAGTTATAATTTTTTTTTTTATCCAAACAATATTTGCCGAGCTTTTAGCATTTCAATCCAAGTTTGAACCACCCTAAGTCAGCATGTTATTGAAACATACCTTAATCCGGTCCTGTTTCTTCACCTCCCTTGCTCCTTTCAGCTACAGCCTAACTGGAATATCGTGACGCATCATTGGCTGAATGCCTCTCCATCCACAAGCCATCAAATCCTCCATTGCCCCCCATGGACCTTCCTTGCCCCCCACATTTAGTCGAAACCCTTCCCTAATTTTCCCTTTCACCCGCCCTCACTCCGTTTCGGCCCGCAACGGCGTCCAAATCCCTTTGCTCAAACTCCTCTCTGCCTCAATCGCCTCTGTTGCCTACGCTGCGGAAAATGATTGGAAGCTGAGGAGCTCCGGAATCAAAGATATCGATGTTGCTACTCTTGGGAACCTTTGTGTTGACATTGTGCTCAATGTCCCTCAGTTGCCGCCTCCCTCAATCGAGGAACGCAAGGCATTTATGAAACAGTTATCGGCTTCCGCACCAGACAAGGTAGCTTCTCCTGCTTGTACCTTCTCTGAAATTAATCTTTAATTTTTTTTAGTACTGCAATTTTGTGCCTGGTTTTAGTCTCTTTGAGCGACCAGTTTGGCGATCAACTCTATCTTATCCAGTTACCGTTGTTACATTAAAATTATTTAAAAAAAAAAATCTGAACCTTTCATCTTTTAGGTGGCTTTTTTGTTCTCCTATTCCTGTTTTTATTTCTTCTTAGCTAAGCTTGTCTAGCCTGTGTGGGTTACGCTCTTTCTGTAGAAACTATGATAGTTTTAATATCCATCTTCGCTTAAACTATATGGTTTGCTTCATTTGTTTTATATAAATTAGTCGGCGGGGACTTGAAAATTTAGCTGGTTTTTGAAGTTACCATTGTGCGAGGATAAAAATTTCAATTCAACTTCTTGATGATCCACTTCCCGCTCTCTGCCTCTTCTTCTTTCTAACTTGATCAAAACCAGTATTCCTGCGAATGTAATAGAGATGTTGTTAAAGGCAAGTTTGATCACTCTTCTGGTTTTGGTGGATTTTCTTGTGGTTAATTGACATATATCAAACAACAAACAACAAGCATCAAGAAAAAAAGCATCATTTTAAAAATGAAGCAACTAGAGGAGTAAAAAACGAAAAAAATTATCCAGGAGAAACTGTGATGCGTCTGTTTGGTTATGACCATTCTCTGTTGAATAAAAGAGTTGCAAAATCACTGAATATTGCGTTTCTTCTTAACTACTGTTTACGTCTGTTGTTCTTTAGACTAATCTTAGATTACGCATAACACAAACAACAGGATAATTAGATTTGTGAGGCCTACGAGTTTGGAACATGTCGTTCAAATCAACTACTTTAGGCCTACGAGCATGTAATTGCTGAATTTTAAAAGTTTCGTATACATTCAGTCCGATTCCATTGTGGAACAAATCTTTACCTGCTTTTTTTTTTTTACATAAAAAACAATGTCTTTTGCTTTTTATGTACTGCTTAATGCAAACGAATAATGCAGTCTCTCATTGTTTTTTATATCTTTTATTTCACCTTTGATTCTATTGTTTTCCATCAAGAAATATTGGGAAGCTGGCGGAAACTGCAATATGGCTATAGCAGCATCAAGACTGGGACTAAACTGCATTTCGATTGGTCATCTGGGTAATGAGGTATACGGGAAGTTTCTGCTTGGTGTGCTTAATGATGAGGGCATTAGGATGGTAGAAATGAGTGATAATGCTGATGTTGCCAACAACTCTAGTGCCTCATATGAAACACTTTTGTGCTGGGTTCTTGTTGATCCTTTACAAAGACATGGTTTTTGTAGGTAAAATTTTACATCGAAGTTGCATGTCACTATAATAGCAGTTGTTATTTTGTTCTCATATTTCATTCACAAATACCTGAACAAGCATGTTTTCTCTGCTAGTCGAGCTGATTTTAGCAAGGAGCCTGCATTTCACTGGATGGACAAACTGTCCACAGAAGTAAAAGTGGCTATTAAAAAGTCAAAGGTCTTATTTTGTAATGGATATGGCTTCGACGAGCTCTCTCCTTGTTTACTACTCTCAGCAGTGGAATATGCTGTTGAAGCTGGCACAGCAGTCTTCTTTGATCCTGGGCCACGTGGAAAGAGTCTTTCAACTGGGACACCAGAAGAACAAAGAGCCCTTTACCAGTTTCTGAGGATGAGTGATGTCCTTCTCCTAACTTGTGATGAGGTTTCATTCTAGCTCCCCTTAGATTGCTTTTATCTAAGCTCATTTCTAGTTTCTTATCAATGTATGTTCTGTTCTGCATTTCCTATTATGTGTTGTATAATTCTTTCATTAGCTTATAAATTTTGCAATTGCTCCATATATTCCCTTATAAGCTACATATTTTCGTTTGCAAAATGAAAGTCACTACATGTCTATGTTTCAGTTTTTGGTTTTAATGCTGAGGCCTCATGTTTATATTGTGCTTTGATAAGGACCTTGTTAACTCTATGTAATGATTCAACCATTCCTCTTAAGAACGGGTCTGTTTTGTTTGTTTGTCAAAATTAGTTCTGTAGCCTTACTTGATTATGAATTCTATTCTTTGGTGCCGCATAGATGAAACTCTGTGCATTCCCGAATGCATGTCCAATAGTGCAAGTTCATATGGCAATTTCTCGTGTTTATGGCTAACAACTTGATGGGACCCTGTTAAATAATAGATCAGAAAACAGCAAACAAGCAACAACAAAGCACAAAATAAGGGAAATCCTTGATAAGGTATTGAATCAAGTTACAAGAAGGACTCCTTGATTCATTATAAAACCCTCTTCCCTTATTACAATGAAAAATCACAGCAACTAAGATAAACTTAGTCCCTCTACTACAGAACAACTGCTGGCTTTTGAGAGGCCAGTCCTCTCCTCCCAACTCTCAAATACCAAAACGACACACACCTTACTTGGGGACCTCAAGCATAACTATAAACCCAAAAGACAACCCTCACGGACTCCAAAAAGAACCCTCTCCTAAGCCTGGTCAAAAGCAGCTCTAAAGTAGTCTTAGCTGTTATTTTCTTGCTCCTTAATAGTTGGAGCAGTCAGGTCAACGTTCTGACCATCTGAAGGCATCTTTCCTTTTTCATGCTTCTTAGTTTTCCTTTTGTAGGTCTGGACAGCAATAGCAATCCTATCATTACCCTCCCCTAAAAGTTTCACCTTGTCCTCAAGGTGAAAATCAAGAAATTGCATAGAGATGGTCTCAGCATCCTCCCAACTACTCTTGAAATCCTGCATATCTTGCCACTTCATGAGTACTTCACGCTGTCCATTCAAGAGTTTCCTGACTTTAAGAATTTCCTGAGGCTGTACTTGTAATTCTAAGTCTGCTGACAGTGCTGTAGGTAGAGTGGGAGTGACCGCTGCAGCATGTACAGCCTTCTTAAGGTTGGAAATGTGAAAAACTGGATGAATACGTGCTGTAGGGGTAGTTCCAGCTGGTATGCCACTGTTCCCACCCTCTCTAAGACCTTAAAGAGCCCATAAAAGTGAGGACTAAGCTTCTCATTAATTCGTTTGGGCAAAGATCTCAGTCTATAGGGTCTGATTTTGATGTAAACTTGATCCCCGACTTCAAATTGAACATCCCTTCTATGTTTGTTAGCTTGTTCCTTCATCTTGCATTGTGCCCGCAGCAAATTTTCCCTCAAAGTAGCAATGACCAGATTTATGGCTTGGACTTGTTCATTGACAGCTTCAAGAGTAGAAGGCTCCTCATTCAATTTAGGGAAGGTAGGAGGGTCTCTTCCATAAACAGCCTTGAAGGGAGTCATGTTGGCAGCACTTTGATATGAAGTGTTGTACCAATATTCAGCCCAAGATAACCACTTAACCCATTGATTCAGTTTTTCACTGATAAAATAGCATAAATATGTCTCTAGTCCTCGGTTTAGCACCTCGGTTTGGCCATCGGATTCTGGATGATAAGTGGAGCTAAGGCATAATTGGGTGCCTGCTTGTTTAAACAACTCCTTCCAAAATTGGTTGATAAACACCCTATCTCGATCAGAAACAATTGTTTTTGGAAAACCATGTAGCTTAACAATCTTGGAGGCAAAAATTTCAGCGACATTCTTAGCGGTGAATGGGTGAGCCAGGGGCAAAAAATGGGCATATTTAGTGAGTCTATCAACAAGAAGAATGGTGTCATACCTCTGGGATTTAGGAAGCCCGGTAATAAAATCCATGTTTATATCCTCCCATATGCTTTGTGGAATAGTGAGAGGTTGCAAGAGTCCTGCTGGAGATAAAGCTTGGTATTTATTTTTTTTGACAAACATCACATTGTGCTACACAAAGCTGGATATCTTTCTTCATGCCTTCCTAATATGCTATATTAGCCAATCTCTTGTAAGTGCGAAGGTAACCAGAATGTCCCCAAACCGGTGAGTCATGGAATTCCCTCATTAATAAGGAAATTTGGCTGGAGTTTTTTGGTAGAACTATTCTGCCCTTGTAAAGTAACTACCCTTTTTCCCATGCTGTACCCTTCTACACTATGTGGCTTGGCAATGAGCTGCTGCAAAATTTGACGTAGCTTGGGATCCGATTGAACCTCCTTCTCCTATTCTTCAATGTCATCGTGCTGCCATAAGGAGAAACCGAACAGCTCCATAGGTTCTTCTTGCCTAGAAAGAGCATCCGCATCCCTATTCTCCTTACCGGGCTTATAGACAATCTCAAATTTAAAATTAAAACCCATGAGTTTTGAAACCCACTTTTGCTGATTTTCTTCAACTATTCTTTGCTCTAGGAGGTACTTCAAAGCCTTTTGATTGGGGTGGATAGTGAATTTCTGCCCCCATAAATAATTTTGCAATTTCTTGACTGCCATGACCATAGCCATTAGCTCCCTCTCATAGATAGAGCATTGTTTAGCCCTATTAGAGAGTTTTTGGCTAATGTATGCTACGGGTTGCCCTTTTTGCATCAGTATAGTGCCTAACACTAGATCCAGAGGCATCCATTTCAAGTTCAAAAGGAGTAGAAAAGTCCGGCATGGCGAGCACCGGAAGAGTGGTCATTGCTGTTTTGGGCTGTTCAAAAGCTTGTTCAGCTTCTTGAGTCCACTTGAAGGCATCTTTTTTTAGTAAATCCGTGAGTAGACTTGCTATCTTGCCATAGTTCTTGACAAACCGTCAATAATATCTGGTTAGCCTTAGGAACCCTTGCAAGGATTTCACATTCTTGGGCTTAGGTCATTTCAACATGCTGTCAACTTTTTCTGGGTCAGCTCGGACTCCTTCCTTCGAAATGATATGGCCAAGGTACTCAATCCTTGGTTTGCATTTCTTCAAATTAATCACCAATTGATTTTCTTTCAAGCATGTTAGTACCACATTTAAATGCTTCAAATGGGAATCTAAATCAGTACTGTAAATGAGGATATCATCAAAAAATACCAGCATAAACTTACGTAAATACTCTCTAAATACCTCATTCATCAAGGATTGAAAAGTCAAGGGGGCATTAGTCAAGCCAAAAGGCATCACCTTAAATTCATAATGACCTTCATGAGTTCGGAAGGCGGTTTTGTGCTCATTGCCAGCTCTGATTCGTATTTGGTGGTATCCGGATTTCAAGTCCCGCTTTGAAAACACAGTAGCCCCCTTTAGTTCACCTAATAATTCATCGATGGCAGGAATTGGAAATTTATCGGGCATCGTAATCTTATTCAAGGCTCTATAATCCACACAAAACCTCCAACTTCCATCCTTCCTTTTCACCAGCAAAACAGGACTGGAATAAGGGCCGTTGCTAGCTTGTATAATTCCCATCTTCAACATGTCTTTCACCATATTTTTTATCTCATTTTTTTGTAAATGGGGATACTTGTATGGCCTTACATTTGGTGGTTACTCGTTGGGTTTGACGATTATAGCATGATCCTTAGCTTGCGGGGGTGGTAATCCTTCCAAAGCTTGACACACTGATGGGAATTGTTGTAACAGCTCTTCTATTTCTGGAGTCAGACTCATGGTCTCTCCATTCTCCCCTATCAATCCTTTATATTCAATTAAATACCCCTCCCCTTTCTTCCTCATGGAGCGCATCAGAGACTTAAGGGTAGCCTGATTTTTTGACAAGGTGGGATCGCCTTGTAGACAAACTCGGTTGCTTTTCTTGCCAAATTTCATAGTCAATAGACTCCAATTCATTTTTACATCACCCAGTGATTTAAGCCATTCCATACCCAGGACAGCGTCAATGCCATTCAGAGGAAAGGGATAGAATGTTTGAATTATGTCAATACCCTGTACCTTCAAATAGAGGTCCTTACAATGTTGCTTTCGTTTGAGAGTGTACCCATCACCTACTACACTTGTGTATTTAGATATCTCATCTGTTGGGAAATCCTTCTTGCTGCGCAGCTCCTTCGAGACAAAATTGTGGGTGGCTCAACTATCTATGAGAATGACAATCTCTTCCTCCCTGATTTGGCCCCTTACCTTCATGGTGTGGTTGTCACCAAATCCAGCTAGAAAGTTTAGAGAGTTCCATATGTGTAGCTTCTTCCTCTTCCCTGTTGCATTCCCTTTCTGATTCTTGCTCCATCTCGGCCTCCTCTGTATCCTTCTCGGAATTCATCTCTAGCAGCATTACTTGGTAGTGCTTGTTTCTGCATTGATGATTTGGGCCAAATTTGTCTCTACATTTAAAACTGTAGCAAATAGACCGAAAAACTCTTCTTCTTGAATCCCAGAGTATGTACACTGATTTATACATGTGAGAAGATGATCAAATCTCCAAGAAATCAGGAGATGGAATCAGGAGAGGATATTCGGGAATAGGATATCTACAAAATCCCTATTTTTACTCCTCACAGTATCCCCTTTATTAATAAATAATATTTACATTAAATATAGGTCAACCACACTCCCCCTCAAGTTGGATCATAGATGCTAATCATGTCCAATTTGCTTATACAACTATCAAATGCTGGCTTGTGTAATCCTTTGGTGAGTACATCAGCAGCTTGAAGCTTTGTTGGTATGTAGACAAGGCACACAATTCCTTCTTCAACCTTTTCCCTTATAAAATGTCTATCAATCTCCACATGTTTGGATCTTTCGTGTTGAACTGGATTTAGCGCCATACTTATGGCAGCTTTGTTGTCACAGTACAACTTCAGTGGAAGATCAGTCTTGACGTATATCTCATCTAGTACTCGCCTTACCCATAGTA